AGCTGCACTGCAATCCCAGAGGTGCACAGTTCAAATCCACCAGATACTTTGCTCAAGAAGGAGGAGCAATCTCCTCCTGTACCAGTCAGATCTGATTTGACGGTATACATAAAAAAGTTGAGAGAGAGAGAGAAGAGAGAGCGAGCGAGCAAGAGCGCACGCAAATACCCCAGAGACAACAGTCCAGTGGAAATATACTGAGGAACAACTTGAACAGTTATGAAAGAAAATGCAAATAATAGAACACTGTCACCTTTCATGCTGTGATGTAATCCCCTTCCGTATGGCAGCGTAAGCTAACACCGTCAGTCAGTGGAGAGGGCGGGCTTCCTAGTGTGCGGTCAGTCTATTTGCAATTCTTGTTCTCTTCTCTTCATCAACCTGTGGCTTTTGGAGCACAAGCCTGCAGACCTCTCCAGCCTATTTCTCTCCACAGGAACTTTCTATTTTTTCCGGCTCATATCTGTTCTGTTTCTCTAGAGAACCTAGAGACATCCTTCACTGGGACCTCCCAGAGGTGAGAGAACTTACTTGAAGCCACAGCCAGCTGAAAGGAAGATTCCAGATTCCTCCTTCCACCCGTCTCCATCCCACCACCCTGCCTGTGGGACTAGGCCTTGGCGTCAACGTTTGGAAGAATTCCGCACCAGTTGGCCTTCTGAGGGATCAGCTGCACACTGGGCTTGTCGTGACCTCTGGGGGGGGGGGGTGGCGGGGCAGCGTGACCAGCATCTTCCTGCTCCTGGGAGAAACCCCAAGCACGTGTGCAGCACAAGGATGGGGCTGGGGAAATGTGGGCTATTGCTGCCGTGGGAGAGGAAGTGGGGGAAGACTGACCAGATTTCAAATCCACGCCGGAACTCTTTCAAGCCCTCTGCCCTCTTCCCCCCACAGCTCAGCAGTCCTCAGCCCCCACCTCCAAACTTGCAAATGAACTGCAGGCACTAACTCCCTCGCCATCAAGGCCGTGATTTCCGCAGCAGGTGGATATGCAGCGCCTGGAGCCCTGTAATCCTCAGTCCTTTGCAATAAATCCTTTTCCTTCCTACTCATTACGGCAGCTCAGAGAGGAGGAGGGAGGGACTGCTCTCCCTGGGTTACAAAGAGACTCTCAGAGACGTGCTGAGAGGGGCAACTCTTGTCGCCAGGAAAGACAATGGAATACATTAAAACCGGCTTAGTTCTCTGCCGCCAGCCAGAGGCACCAGACCCCTCGGGGGAAATTTACTTGACAAGGTGAGAACCAATCACTGCGTCTGGGCCAGCCAGCCCTCCAAGCATGTGTAGGCTGCATCCGGACAGGGACCTGTCTACTGAGGAGGGGTCAGCGTGCTCCTCCGGGGGCTCCACTGTTGACTCACGATAATAAGCAGCCTGTTGGATGGCTCTTCCCTTTCTGGTTTCTTTTTATTATTAATAATAATAACAATTATTATTATTTTATTTTATTTTATTTTGTGGCTGTTGAGAATACGCACGATAGAACACATAGCTTGGCCGTTTGTAGGCGTACAGCTCAGTTACTTTGGGGACCACTCTTCACGTTATACCACCACTCTCTCCTTCCTTGTCTGTGTTGTTCCTCCTCTGTGAGCACAGTGATTCTGTGGTTCAAGGTTCCCATCTAGTCCTTCGAATAGCTGTTGTCAGTCTGACCCACACTGACAGATCTTAAAAGAGTGAGATGTTCAAGGTACACATTACAATTGTTGTTATTGTTGTCGCGGGTAGGTGCCGTCAAGTAAGTACAACTCATAGCGACCCTGTGAACAACGGATCTGAACCCAGCCCTACCCCATGCCATCCTCCCCATCTCTGGCACACTCAAGCTCATTCCTGCCGTCACTGTGTCTATCTGGTTGAGGGTCTCTCTCTTTTGCTGACATTCTACCTTTGCAAACATCATGTCCCTTTCCTAGACACATGCACTAAGTATGAGAGACAAAGCTTCATTATTTTTGCCTCCAAGGACCACTCTGGCTACACCTTTTCCAAGACATATCTGTTTGTCTTTTTGACAGTCCATGGGACTCTTTTCAAATGCCACAGTTCAAAGGCATCAGTCCTTCCCCTTCCTGTCATCCTTATTCATTGTCCAGCTCTCAGCAGTGTAAAAGATTATTGAAAAGATCATGGTCTGGATAAGGAGCACCTTAGTCCTCAAACTAACATCAATGCTCCCCAGTAATGTGGAGAGGTCCCTGACTGCAGATTTTCCCAGTGTAACATGTCTCCTGATCTCCCGATGGCTGATACTAAGTGTGTTGATCATGGATCCAAGTCAGATGAACTTGTTGCCAGTTTCGGCACTCATCTATCATGATGTTGCCTATTGGTCCAGTGGTGAGAATATTATTTGGCTTTATGTCGACTTTAGGGGACATTTTGCCCTTTCTGTTTGGAAAATGCTCTGTTTCTTCCCCTTGAGTCCAGACTCAGTGGAGATGTGACAAAGACCTTCCTCTCTGTGCCACTTCTCCCGTCCTATCCTACCCAGAGACCTGGACACACCTCGGGCACACAGCACCCTCTCCAGCATTGGAGGAAGAGATCTCATGCTCTCCAATAAGAAGATTCCCAAGAAATGCCTGTCTCTTTACAAACATCCTTTCTGCAAATAAAAAAAGGGCTGGGGGGCGGGGGGCAGAGCGTCACAGTGATTCCTTCCGGAAGAAACTTGGGCCCTGGAAAACTCGAATTACTTATGTCTTAATTATTTAATGCCCCTTTAACAAAGATCTCATAAGCGGATGGCTTTAACAAGCCACAATTGATTCTCTTACGAGTTAGGAAACAGAAGTCCTATGCAGGATGTGAGCTCTGGGGGAAGGCCTACTCTCTGCTGCTGGTGGAGGAGGGTCCTTGTTTACTTCAGCATCTAGAGCCCTGGGATCCCTCGGACCTGCCCTCTGACCTTCCCTGGTGTCAAAGATCTTTATTGCATAAGGTCTTGGTTCAAAAAGGACACACTCCACTCAGCTATTTCTAAGCATTACTAAATATTCCTCTGTCCCCAGATTTCAGCTCCTTTCCTCTCCCCTCATCTCTAGTGAGATGTTGTTGTTGTTACGTGCCAT